ATAAGAACATCCTTAGACCGCTTTAATTAAGTATAATTCTTTAAAAATAGATTGAGGTGCGCCATCCAATCACATAGTCTATGGCCCTCACATTAATTTCCTAACTAATGTAGAGAAATGACTCGAATTCTCGTAGTTTACTTTAGACACGTTAATTAAATAAAGTGTCATAGCTACGGGTACGGTTTCCGTGACGTATACGTGATACATAATGCTCTAATCCAGGTCTACATTTCATGTGACCCGACTTCAATTTCCAATAATGTTAAATGAATTAGACATGTCGCGAACCGCGGTTGCATTTCATGTAGCGTGGTTTACGATGTGTTTTTCGTAAACAAACAAGTAATAAATGCACAATAGGTTTAAAACTTATTATTAATCAGACTATTAGGCCAATAATAATAGTTGAGCGACCGTGCCACGGAACCCGAGAATGCCTAACACCTTCTCCCGGATTAACAGAATTTCTTACCCAGATTTCTGTGTTTCGCGGACTGTAAAACAGAGTCAAACTTCCTCGATTCGGGATCTTAAGCTGGTGACTTGGGACACCATAAATTATCCTAAGTGGCGACTCTGAATTTTGAATAAATAATCCCGTTTCGATTATTGTCACTTTAATTGGAAAAACTCCCCTATACCCCTTTCGGGTGTAGAAAAAGGAGGTGTGACAACATCGAGCGAAACCTTCCGTCATCTATCGCCGCATAACGGCTCATAATCGAGGTTCTTATTGAACCGTCGAAGAGTCGGGCAAAATTAAAAACTTCAAAAGTCTTTAACGAGGGAAAAATAAAGCCTACACTAAGATGTTGTACCGACCCGATGCGTAAGAGCCACTGTCGCCAGCCCATATTAGAGGTCGTACCAACCCAATGCGTAAGAGCCACTGTCGCTAGCCCATATTAGAGGTCGTACCTACCCAATGCGTAAGAGCCGCTGTCGCCAGCCCACACTAAGAGGTCGTACTGACCCAACGCGTAAGAGCCTAAGGGCCAGTTTAAAATTCAAAAACTTAAGGGCCAATGAGCTCGAGTCAAAATTCGACTCGGAGACTGAGCCCGAAACAGTTAACTAAAAAACACCTAAGGGCACATGCGTAAGAGCCCAGATGCCAGCTTAAAATTAAAGGTCGTATCGACCCAATGCGTAAGAGCCCAGACACCAGCCTATATTAAAGGTCGTACCGACCCAACGCACAAGGGCCTACAAGCCTTCCCAACAAGCCTCAAGGCCGAATTACAAACCGAAGGGTTTTTACTCAAAGGCCAATTTATCTGGCTGATCATTAACAAAACGCCAAAGCTCAAGACAAAGAAAGACACACATGAGCAAATAGAAATTCATGGAAAGAAAAAACCGAAATGTTTCTTTATATATAT